AGAAGTTGATGAGAAATCTGAGTAAACTGTCAAAACAGTTTTTAAAGAAAGAAGTGTTTATAAACCTTAATAAATTATACCTTGGTTTCATTTTCATTCTTTGTCATAATTTTTAGTATTTCTCTTTTGGCTCATGGAAACCCTGAAAAATTAAGCTAATTTGTTTTGAAAATCTTATCAACTTTTATCATATGGACTGTAAAACTTAATTTCTAGGGATCCAACCAAGTCCTTTTAGACCAATTTTATTGTGTGCTCAGGAAAAATTAGCAGACCCAGAAAAAGGCTAACTGACTGGGAATTATTATAATAGTGGCAAGCCCAACCATTGCACTATCAGTGAGATCATTATCCAGGTATTACTGAAATTTCTAGAGAATAGAAAGTCAGGTACAGACCATCATTAGAAAAACAACTCTCTAAGGAGCACATGTTTTTCAAGCCATTGTACTTGCTGAGAATGGCTATTCTGTCCTCTTAAGTAAATTCCATTTGGTTCACAAGGCCCATTTACTCAACAAATACAGGGGTGGGCCAAATACAGGGGTGGGCAACAGTAGGTACCCACCTACTGTCATTACATAAAAGATAAACGTAAGTAAGAATACAAAATCTATACTAATAAAAGGGTAATATGCTAATTAGACTGGGTCAACTGGACATCTTCTGGTCATCTGGTCCTCCTTCCTAACAAAGCCATGGTGGTGGGGGCTGCAGCAGAGGTGGTTAGGGGCAATCAGGCCGGCAGGGGAGGGCAATTAGGGGAAATCAGGCAGGCAGGCAGAGGGGGTAGGGGTCAGGCAGCAGGCAGCCAGAGTGGTTAGGGGCAATCAGGCAGGCAGGCAGGTGAGTGGTTAGGAGCCAGTGGTCCCAGATTGTGAGAGGGATCCCAGATTGGAGAGGGTGCAGGCCGGGCTGAGAGACCCCCACCCCCACCCCCATGCACAGATTTCATGCACTGGGCCTCTAGCAAAAATAATAAAAGACAAACAATACAAATGTATAATACAATTAATAAATAATAATAATACAAGAATAAACTCTGTTTCATGTACTCACAACTGTAAACCTAGTTTTGCCTATATTTGTTGAATACCTACTTTGTGCCAGATAATGTTTTAGGCAATGGGTAGACAATGGTAAACAGATGTACAAGGTGAATTGTAAGAAAGATAATAAATTAGTAAACAACTTATTTTCTGATCACAAATAGAAAATGGTATATGTGGTGGGGAAGAGGTCTATTACATCATAGTCAGGAAGAGCTACCCCAAGGTCACATTTGAGCAGAGGACTGAAAGAAGAGAATGAAGCATGTGGTCTAAAAGAATGTTCCAAGGGAAGAGTATCTAAGGTAGGATCTTGATATGATTGTCAGCAAGATCCAGTTCCATTCCTCCAGTTTCAGGCAGAGCTCTGATTCCTTAAGCTTGCAATGACCAAATTCTTATAACAGCACTTGCCTGTGTAATTAATTTGGCCCTGAATGTATGTTGCATTATAATATTAGTTGTCCACTTAAGACTGAGCTCCTTCAGGCTAGGGACCTTTGTCTATGCTACTTGATATACCCAAAGCCCCACGTAGTACTCTCATGTAACAAGCATTCAGGAAACACAATGATCATTATTTCTTATTGATTTGTGTTATTGTCATGCCTGCAAGGATCATATCAACTTTATTTTTTCTATCACCATTTATCCCCTGTATGCCCTCTTCCACCTTCCCCACCAGACTGTTGTCCATCTTCATGAGTTTTTTTTTTTTTTTCTCAATCCCTCCACTCCCTCCAACACCTCTGCCGCTAGAGCTGTCTGCCTGCTCTCTATGAGTCTGTTTCTATTTTGCTTGGTGGTTGTTTATTCATTAAGTTCCACAAATGAGTGAAACCACATGGTACTTGTCTTTCTCTAACTGGCTTCTTTCACTTAGTGTAATGTTCTCCAGGTCCATCCATGCTGTCGCAAAGGGTAAAGATGGGCAGAGGGGTGTGAGAGGTTCTGGCTATTTTAAAAAATAGATACAATAACTGTATGTATGTTGATTTTGAACTTCTTATTAGGTTTATTTTGTCATGAACTGATTGTTAGGGTCACCAAAGAAGGTATGCACGAGGCCAAAAGTAGTAAAGAATTATATATGTAATAGATCATCTGGAAACCAGATAGGCTGAGCCCACAAATAGCACCAGCACCCAGGGATAGGGAGTCAGAGATTTTAAAGGACTCTAGGAAGGCTTTTTCAGCAGGGAATTCTCTGAGCTAGTCCAGATTCTGGGCAAGTCCAGAGGGGAAAGTTACTCGTCATAGCAAATGAAATGTGGTCTAAGCAAAAGGGAATGTTGGTTAGGAAATGATCTAAAGGTCAATTTCCCAGCTGATTATTGGATCAGACCTAACACTGAAAATGTTGTAAATGTGTTCAAAATTTATTAAAATAATTCACTCTTCTTAATTGAAATTACAAATAAAATACTTCACCTTTAATTCTTGAAGAATGACTTTTGCCTCAGGCCTTTAGAATTAAGTCTTAGACTAAAAGAATGCAAACTTCATAGCTGCTGTTCGTAATCAGTCTTTCCTTTTGTCGTATAATAGTATTTCAAGAGAGAAGCCAAAGGCCCTTGATACCAGTTTACTACACTGCTGCTATTTTCCCAGAGCTGAGATAGCACACTGAGAGAGGTTTTTAAACTGCGTAAGTGTGTTATGTGATACTAATAGTGGTTGTAAAATTTCATAGTTTAAGAAAATGATGTAAACCTGAAGACATGTTCTAAATGAACACCAATATGATGTTTGAATTTAAAAAGGTGAAACACCTATACTTCGCCTTTTAAAAATATTGATCAAATAACCATCAACCTTAGAATAAGAATACTGTAATTTTGGCTTTGAGTTGAATAATCTCTTCTTGTAATAAGATTACTCTAAACTTCTTTTACTTCCACATTTACCCAAAGAAACAACATGGTGATTTACAAGTAGTCAGTTTTTTCTTTTTTCTTTTTTTAAGCAATATGGTGTTATGGAGAGAAAACACTAATTTTGATGTTGGGAATCTAGATCAGAATCATTGCCCTACTACTCAATAGTTGGGTGACCTTGGACAAATTACTTCCTCAGTATTCTTGTCTCTCAAATGGAGATGATATCATTCCTATACACCTTCAAAACTTTCAGTCTCCTGGATTATTGTCAGTTATTCAACTTTGCTTGGTAGTATTAAGGATTATTAAAGTTCATGTAGTTCAAATAGATCAATCAAATGTTTTAAGAGTGTGACATTTTATGCAATAAATTTACTACTCAAGATTCTGGGACCATGTGAAACTGTAAGTAGGACAGATGGTTATGATCTCTCCCTTCATCCTACTACAGTAGTTAAAGATAAAAACTTTTAAGAATTTTACCATCAGAGTAAACTCAAACAGGTCAGATGACTAATGAAAGGCTTGTTATTTTGGAAACAAAGAATAATATATTTGTTTAACAATAATAATTGTGAGGCAAGTAGCTTCTCTCATTTTACAGAAAAGGATTTGGTTGAGAAAAGTTAAGCAATTTGTTTATGACATACCACATATCAGAGATGGATTTCAAAAATTTAAACCTAGGTTTGCGTGAGAAAACCACTTTCTACTGTACCAATGATTTCAAACTTTGGCATACTTCAGAATACATAGGGTGCTAATTCCAAATGCAGATCTCCAGATAGCCTTTGGGAACATGCATATTTATAAATACACTGTGTAAATGTGGCTCAGGATGCCTATTTACAGACAAGAGACTATTGGCTCTGAAAACTGCCTACTCAAAAAAATCAGAAATCATTCAAACAAATTAGTATTCATTTGTTATGTGAATGATTTGACGAGAGAGAGAGAGAGAGAGAGAGAGAGAAACATTGATTGGCTGCCTCCCAGGGGACTGTGTATGTGCCCTGACTGGGAATCAAAGCCTCGACCCTTCTGTGCACAGGATGATGCTCCAAACAACTGAGCCACACCAACCAGGGCTCATTTGTTTTCATCTGGCTATAAACCAGAACATTCCTCAGCTACTGTAGTCCTAGAATTCTTACCCAAGGGCTATGTGATAAGGCATTTCAGGAGCATTTTATAAATGCAGAGTATTCTTGTTAAATTTGAATCTAATAAAAAATAAGCTTACCTTTCCTGAATTAACCATCTATAATAATAAAAGTGTAATACGCTAATTAGACTGGATGTCCTTCTGTATGACCTTCCGGATGAAGCCAGGGCTGCAAGGGAAGCCCAGGTCCCAGGTGCCTAAACTGGCAGTCAGACATCCCTCTCACAATCCAGGACCACTGGCTCCTAACTGCTTACCTGCCTGCCTGATTGCCCCTAACTGGCCCCCCCTGCCAGCCTAACCACCCCCAACTGCCTCTGCTTGCTGACCTGATCGCCCCCAACCGCCCCTCCTGCCAACCTGGTCACCCCCAACAGCCTCTCTCTACCAGCCTGGTCGCCCTTTACTGCCCCCCTGCCGACC